TCACTCACTCACTCACTCACTCACACTCACACTCACACTCACTCACACACACAATCTCTATATATATACATATATTCAGGTGCAAAATAATATGTATATATATATATATAGTTATATGTGTGTGTATACATACATATATATATATATAATGTATGTGGGTCATGTAGTACTCGGTCCTTCTACCATGAATCACAATGCAGTGTAACTCATGTGCATATATATATATAATGTAAGTATACCCAACATGTCCAAACATGTATATGACACATATTATATCATATGTACATAGTTGTCGGCATATTGGGCACACCTTTGGGCTGGTGCCTTTCAAGGGCCGCCAAAAAAGGACCCGGGACCCGCCCAAAAGCGCGGCCGGGCGGCACCCTCCCAGGTACCGGCGAAGCCGTACCTACGGCTGGGGCCCGCCCTGGGGGAGGCAGGCCACGGGTTGGGGTTGGCCATACCCAAACACCGCCAAACGCTCCATGTATGCTTTGTATTTAACCACATTTGACAAAGTTGCTTGGCGACTTGCATAAAATGTGGTATATCTTCCCAAGGCATGACACAAACACGTCCTACACCCCTAGAGACACTAATTGAAGACTCCCCCTGCTTCTGGAGGAACGCTTCGTGATGAAGTCGCCTCGACCCATCGTTTTGTCTGATCCCCTTCTCCAATGTTGGAGGGCGTTTAACCTGTGCCCTTAGGCGTTATTGGGCTCCAGGTGCGGTCCGCGCCTGGTGACCAGGGGGCTCCTCAGATCGGCACGCACCAAAGCCCCAAACCAGGGCTGCAGGTTTAGGATCGTTTGATGGGAGCCCAGTTCGCGATGAGCCCGCGAGCGAACATTCCGCCAGTGGAAGCCCAGAAATTGGGAGGCGAACCTCATCTGCGTTGTTGCACAGTGACCCGGTTCTTTCATTTCAGAGTGAATCCTTCACTCTTGGGGGGAAGGCCCCCCTTTTCTTAGCCCGCCAGGATCTCGGAATCAACAGGGATCAAGGAACCTTCTCTTTCCGAGATCTTTTCTGGGTTGCTGCCAAATGCTGCCCCACATCCATATTGAATGCATGGGGTTGGAAGCAAGTGGTGAAAAACTCGAATGCATGTCTCTGGAGATGGGTTTTGTGTGGACGGCTTCCTGAGAAGGAAGCTGGTCCCTTTGGACTGGGTAAGACAAGTTGCCTTTCTGGCTTCGGCTCCGTTGAAACGAAGAAGGAGGCCCCATGAGAAAGGGTGTGTGTGTGTCCCACCGTGATACCAAGGAACCTACCCTTCAATAGGCAGCCAGTTGGACTTCCCCGCAGCCCTTTCCAAGCGCTGGTTTCACTTGGGGTAGCTATGGTTCCGCACCGCTGCTCAGGTTGTCATGGTCCCAACTCGTGGCATTGACTCGGTGTGGCCGCTTTCAAGGGCCTGGAACGTGGAAAGTGTCGCCTTTGAACGGAGCTGGGTTGGTCCGACTGGCCCAAGACTTGGCCACACCTTGCTCAGATACGTTTGTCACTCTTCGAGAAAGAAAACCAAACCGAAAAGAAAGCCCATGGTGGTAGGTTCCCCTGTTTCAAGACAATCTCCTTTTTGTCCAAAAGTGAAACTTGCAGTGTGATCCCGGGGCTCTTTGGCAGCAAAGTTGTTGGCAACCTTTTGAGAGCCGTGCAGGCGGTTTCATCCGTCGCTGGGTCGCGGAGGTGGGTAGTGTTGGTTTCAACTTTCAACAGCCCCCCTGGCCCCTTCAAGGCAAACAGGCATGAGGCGGTTCAACAATGATTCAAGGCTTTTTTCAACAGGTGCTGGCCCCTTCCCGGTTTTGTCCAGTGCAAGCCAGCAAGGCAGCTAAAAGATTCATTCCTTCCGGCAATCCAGTAGTCAGCAATCAGTCTAGCGATCTAAGCAGCCGCATGAAACTCGGACTGGATAACCCAAGCCCCGGTTTTTATGAAGCGGCAAGTTTCCTGCAGATCGTCTATGAGTGAGCCACAGCCCAAATAGGCCACACCTTTAGCATGGAACTAATTGCTGCGTTCCCTGGTTTACTAGGAAAGAAGCTGGTCCCTCGTGTGTCTCACAATGTACGCGTAGTGCGTCCATTTGCAGGTACCCAGGATGATTTTTGCTAGGTTTTACCATCATAAACACCTGGTCAGCCGGTACAGTAGGTACCCAGGATTTTGTTTACTAGGTTTTACCATGGCAACTCCCCTGGTTACTTACCATGGCGAAACGGCTTCCAGCACTAGTATGGGCTTTTTCTGCTACAATCCAGCCAACCTCCGTCGAGGAGCATGTACTTCAGCAGCACTTCTCGGCGTGCTGCCTGGCCATGAGAGAGGGTTTGCCGCCCCGAAGTGCCGGTCCCTTGGGGGTCACATGGTACTCAATATTTTCTTTCGTGTGAAGATTCTGTGTGGGGTGCTGTGAAGAGACATTTTGAATGGAAATCATGAGGTTGATGTGGAGATACACGACACGCATGTTGGTATGCTAAGGACCCCAGCACGCAAGCCATTCTGCGATTCTGTCGCCCGGAAAGAGCATAGTTTCCGGGGGGTCCGTTGCCCTACGTGGCATACCGAACAAAGGATAAGAACCACCCCTTCCAAACGGACACGTCCCTTCCAGGTGCGCCAAGCACCCCGCTTGGTTGGATCGGCACCCCACCGTTCAGCCCCGCGGGCGCTTGGAACCCGCCTGCTTCTGCAGCGCGTTTCCCTGCCAGGCTACATGCAGCTCCTCCTGGAAAGCCGCCTTGGCTTCTGAATGCATCCCGCTTCGGAGCGCCGAAAATGAAGGCCGGGTGGGTAACCAGCGCTTCCAGTTGCCACTGTAGAAGGCAGCCAGGTATTTTACCTCCAGGCTTTACATGATGGTTCCCCTGGTTACCATAGTGATTTATCTGATAACTGAAAGCACAGGCAGTAAAGTGCACTTAGCACAGCTGTCTTTGACGGCGACTCTCCAAGCTAGGGATTCCAGGAAAACAAAGAGCCAAATCAAGCGATTTACAACGCCCAAATTGCCGAGTGGCTTCTATCCCATTGCGGAACCACCACAAGGACACCACTCAATTTGGGGCCTCTATGTTGAGGCAGTACAACGATATCAGAAAACCAGGCTGAGCATGATGTAGCCTACCTTGCCCGCCAGGGTTGCTCCCATTCAACCCGAAAGATCTGATGGGCACAAGGACAGAAACTTGGTCTCTGGGGAAGGAGAACCAAAGCCAACTTGAGACTCTGGAATTTTAATGATGCTTTGAGAATAGCGCGGATCAACTTCTACTGAAAGATGCCACATCTGCAAAGCGGAACGATCACGATCATCATACCTTTGGGCCAGGTGGTGTGCAGCGTGCACCTCAACCCTGCCTCACCCCATCACGCAGTGGCACACGACGAAACTCTTCACCAAGCAGGTGCTTCCCAAAGCTTACTGGTTCAAACCACACACAGAGTAGTGAACGTCTAAGCTGTCTTTTCCTGCCCCCGTTACCACACAGAAACAAACCCAGGTTTAAACGCTTGAGATGTGTTTAACAAGTCAGCTCGGATCACTCAGGGGCGGAGGTGAATCTCCTTAAACAACGTTGAGTTCTGGGGTGCCTTCTCAAACTCTAAACTGGCAGTGGCATTTGGACCTTTGGGCACTGGAATTCAATCATTTGGGATCCCCTTACATGAAAGTTCCACAGCTTTTTTCGAATGACGCAAATTCTCGGACACATCCCACCTACAATGTGCCGGCCCGAATGGGAGTCTGGGCTCAGAGTTGACCACTTCCTCAGGGACCTCTTGCCAAGATGCACTGGAGTACTCGGTGATGGACTGCCAAGGGAAAAAACGGCTCAATATCTTGCTCTCAACCGAAGCTGGGGGATCTCTTGTAATCCTGGCATGCTTCGCAGAGTTTCTGGCCTGGGCACAAATTACTTGACCTTTGATGTTGGTGGATGATAGAGGAAACCCCTGCCAACAGGAAACAGCGGCCCGAAACCCGGTGGTTGCAACTGGAAAAGCGACCACTCCACGTCCGCGTAAACCATGCCATCTGCAACACCTGCTCTAATCTGTCAAATGTGTATAATCAACCAACCCAAAAGAAGCACTCCATGTCCAAGAAACCGAATGGGGCCCAATGTCGCCCCCGGAGAGGTCAAGCAATAATTCGCTCAAAAAAAAGATGTGCGCATGTGTGTGTGTGTGGCAAACACAGTAGAAAATATCGGACTGACTCTGCTCTTTACACTTGTTCTAACAGGCTGCAAGTTGAAAGGACAACGAGCCACCAATCTGAAGGTACTCAAACAGGCACAGGAAACAGTCTTCTAAAGGTCGGGGCAAGCAATACGCAGCTTTTTTGGGAGGAATCCCAATCTGACAAAGGAAATCAAGCATGGCCCCAATTCACATACTCCAAACCACATGGGGGTTCGGCGCAAAACCGATTGCTGTAAGGCTCATTCTTCAGAATCCATGGGAACAGTTTGGTGGGCCTCGCTGGGAACAAATACAGGAAAGTTCAAAGGCAACCCCATCCAGGTTCTTCCAGTCAGAAATGGTAGTAACCCTTATAACCTTGGCCCACATCTGGAGAACAGAAAGGAAATAAGCCCAGGTGATATCCCCAACAGCATGCGGGCTCTTTTTAGTGCTCGCACCACCCCGCAGCCCTCGCAGAACCTCGTGGAACGCTGGTGGAACCCTGGTGGAACCCTCGTGGAACCTTACCGCAGGGCCGCCCCGGACCACCCCGGAGCCTATCTGGGCTGAGACCCCTGTTGGGGAAAAACATATCGTCTGACTCTCCTTCGTATGAAGTCTAACTGTAAACATGTGTTGGAGGAGAACCGAAATGCCTACGGTGGCCTCCAGATTTAAGAAGCCGTGCCTCGTCCATGAGCTTCAGCAGCAACTCTTTGGTCATCCGCTCCATCACGAGTTCCGGCCGCGAGTCTGAACCCGGGGAGTCGCTTTGAAGGGAAACGCAAGAGAGACCCAAGCCCCGATCTGAGTTGCGATACTCCCATGTGAAACCCGAAAAGAAAAACAAAACAAAAAACGCTGGACACCTCTACACTCGTTGCGCGATCTTGTGGCGCCTTCCTGGACTGATGTTGCACATCGTCAAGGAGGGGCCCGGCATTTTCTTCAGAGCTAAAGCAGCGCGAAACAAAGCACAAAGGAGGTGGTTTGGGCAGGGCTTTGACTTAGATCCAGACCCAAACACTGCATGGTATGCAATTCCCCCCAAAAAAACACACACCCACGTGGATTGTGTGGGACAGGGGAAGCCGGATGAATCACAAATCCTTGCATCTACAGCAAGGCCAATCACACCATCACTTTACCCAATCCAGTCATCAGACCCACAAAAACGGAGGCTGAAGGCTACCTGTGCTGGGTATGCTTTTTCAAGCGAATTGCCTTGCAAAAGAAACAAGTGCCTTTTCCACATTTCAAGCATAGTTGCGCTCAACCTGCTCAAGGGACGTTGTGTCGTTCAAGATAGCATTTGTCACAGCAAATCCCATACACATCACGCCAAGTGGCCCTGGGCCTGCAAAACCAAGAGCCAACTTGACGTCGCAATGGACAAATACCCGAGTGCTCAAAGCATTGCGCCGGACAAAAGTAAGAGGCAAAAAAGCTGGCAGTTGCCACTGCTCTGCTTGAGGCATGAAGCATGTCAACCTGCACAAATGCAAAATGTTCAAGAGGTCTGTGGGAACAAGTTTGCCTCGTTTTGTGTGTCCCCTCGTTTTCTCTGCCCCTGTGAGGATAATGGGTCACCCGCAGACGGATTTTCGATGTCAGGTGTAAAAACCATCGAAAAAGAACATCTCCTCGCCATGTAGGGCCTCTCTTGGCACTCTCCAACCCCACTATGGTCACTAATAATAACATGAGGTTCCAGCCAGCGACCAGCAGAAAAAAAAAAGGCACCAACAAAAGGCACCCACAAACCAAAGCAACCAAGTAGAAAACGCCTGGTGACCTAAACTGTTTGATGGCTGCGATCTGGGAGAAATTGTCAAAGAAAACTGTGCACCAACAGGAAAACCTTCATTCTCGGGAAGCTTCGTATCTGTGGCGCTCATTGCCCCACACGCCGCATCCTGCCTTTCTTCTCTGGCAGCTTTTGCCAGCGCGCCAACTCTGCCTACCCTCGGACATATCCCAAGTCAGCAGAGGTACCTGTCACATGAGCTGAACATGGTAACAACCCCAAGGAGTATCCCCACAGCAACGGCCAAACTGGTTTCCGCCGAACCTTCCGGAACCTGCCGCACGAACCCCACAGCCATCGCTGTTGGGGGACAAGCGGCCCTTTGATGCGCATACTGCTACCTAGATGTCGTGAATTGGATGGCATGATTGATGACCTTTGGATGGGATGCTCCCAAATTGGCGCTTCAAGGATCTGCCGGATGGTGCTGAAAGGACAGCCAAAAGAAGCCAAAACACAATCTCTTTGGGCTTCCCATTTCCCATGCCGTGTTGTTTCCAAATGAGTGGCTTCCCTTTGGAGTAGTACCTTTAAACCAGCCTCAGAATGGGCAACCTCCAAAAAGGCTCCGAAAGGCGCAACAGACCTGGAAATCAAACTTGAGCTTTTGAAAAGCTGCAGCCTGGTTCACCCTCTTGGGAACTTGTTGCACCAAAAACCAGATATGCTCAGCTCCACATGAAACACCTCGCGACTTGGAAATGCAGACAGCGTGCTGTCAGCCGGCAAGAGACGCGGCAATTCCCCAGGGTCCCAGGGGGAGGGCGAGTTTTGGCCATTAGAAGCTAAGGGTGCAAAAGAAGCCTACGGCCCAAGTCATCATGGGGTTGAGGGGTGCTTTAAATTACTTTCGGTCGTTACTGCAAGCTCCTTGTGCCATGAAACTCCTAATCCGGGTGTCAAATAAGGGTCTGGACAAAACAACAAACAACCCCTGATGGATTCCTTCACGGAAGATGTTGAGTCAACACCCAGTCATGGTAAAGGTCTATCTACAGTACCAGCTTGCACTCCACCCGTCAAAGAGAAATGGTCTAGGCAGCGTTCCATGGGATAGAAAATAGCTATTTCTCAAAATTAGGCGGCCAACCAGGAAGGTGGTTTCCTGTTCCTGTTTAATCATCCGAAAAGGCGTCGCCATACAAAGCCAAATCCTGCTGAAGGGTGTGCCTGAGGGTTAGCATTGATGTTGATCAAATATCCGGCTAAACTCTGGTCGTATCTGTGCACAAAGAATCCAGCAGTGCCCTTCTCCCTGTCACTGTGAGCTGCCAAGCTTATCTGACATCCCAAACTGCGGAGCAACTTTGGGTGATTGTCACACCTGCTGGACCTGGTAGGTCGTTTATCCCAGTGTTCATAGGGTTTCATCAATCCAAACTAGTGCAGGATGTAGTCCATCTACAATATGGACCCCTTCGGACCCTCTTCCACCAAGGCGGGGCATGAACATAAACCCCCAAAAGGGTGCTGACGCCTAGCGTCAACAACGCGAAGGTGGGCGGTTTCTCAAATAGGGCAACTCCCAAAATGGGTGATGTCCTTTAGATTGTCTTTGAAGGAGATCCCGAAAAGGATCAGATCAACTGAAAAACAAACTGGTGTCATGGCCGCGCCGCCCCTGGGTCGATTACCTCCCGTCACGGAGCTCTAATCCTCGAATTCATTCGCCAAGTGGAAAGGCAGGAAGCCAGGACTCGTTTTGATGCAAAAAAAAACAGCAAACAAGCAAGTGAGCGAGCAAACAGGCTGGCAGGCAAAACCACCCAAACCACATCCAAACAACACACAGCAAAACACAACAGCGAAAAATAAAATTTAGCTGCTAATTAAACAAACATGTACAGCCTCGCAGTATTGTACACAGGTGCCGAGACTCCAAGAAATCAGCTGCAGGTAGCCACAGGAAGGTTGCCTAATCTCCTGCCAATTAGGGCTTGCCTGTTGACTTTCTTTTGTTTGGAAACCCAGAGTGTTGAACACCCTCTTAGAGGAGGTCAATATATACATATATTTAATATAGTCAAGCACAAAAGGAACCCAACGGCAAAAGCCTGATAGCAACTGCTCAGATCCTCACTCAGCCCGGCATTCCGGCGATGGCGGATGCGAAGTCCAGCGGAATTCGTCTGCCATGGATCGGATAGAGCACACGATATGCACAAGTTGAGTCTGCCCTACGCGCCTCAATCGCTGGGCTGTTCCCAGATCCCCTGCTAAAAGTTTAACTTTTTGTGGTTTAGTCGAAACTACCACTAACCTCCAAAAGCCTAAAATCAAAGGGGATGGCTGGAAACCACAAAGAAAGAACAGCCTAAAGACGAGATGAATATCCTTTCGGGGGACGCCCTTTTTGGGGTTCCATTCAAGCGGTGCTCAAGACCGATCAAGATTTGGTTACCCTCATAGCACTCCTTCTCGGAGCTTTCGCGCAGTGTTTTCCTTTCGCGGCAGTTTGTTGTGCGTCAACTCTTTTGCGGCGCTTTTGCGGGTGTTGCTTGAGCGCAGCATAGGTGCGCATGTTGCAAATACCCTCTTTCAAACAATCATGGAAGTGTCCGTGACAATGAGGCATTTCCAAGAGGACTGTGAGTCTCTTGTCAGCTTCCATGATGGTTGGAAAAAAAAGTAGTTGCCGGCACCCGCAGACACTGCATCGTGAATACATATCAATTTTTAGATTGCAACGCTTCAAGTCTAAATCATATCTCAATTAGATTTCAATTGAAAACAATGATCAACTAGAGTTTAAACATATTTTCCTTCCAAGTAGGATTTTAATCGGGTTTGAACCAACAGATCTAATAAGGAAAGAGAAGCTTGTTCTTTCCATTAGTTTTAAATGAGTGAACAAAACAGCAAAAACCCGTGGACAAATGCAGACTTCATTTTAACACTTCATTTTAACAAGTTTGCCAGCTTTACATTGAAGCTTTCATGTAAACGGGATTTCGATTGGAACTCAATTCGTGTTGTTGAAATAGATATCAACTAGCACGTCCCTTCCAAGTAGGTAGAAGTTAAGTAGAACCTTAAATTTAACTTAGATGTTAAATAGGATGTTGTCCAAATATGATTTTGTTATAAGTTTGATTCTGACATATATTGTGAACAAGACTTCATTCCAATTCTAAATAGGAATGCCTGTCCAAATAGGATGTTTGAATGGAAATTCTTTAGAACTTAGTTATAATGTCACAACAAGTTGGACAACTAGAATCTAGTGAGGAAAGACAAGCTTGTTTTTTTTATTCTAAGCGATTCGATCCTTTCCTAGCATCTAGGAATGCTATCCGATTTTAGTTATGATCTAGCTACAATATGTAGGAAGGAAAGACAAGCTGGCTGTTTCTTCTAGTTAACTTGAATAGAATTCGACTGCGGTTAGCAGGTAAACTGCTCAGGCTGCGATGGCAAATGTGTCCTTCTTGCGGAGAAATGTGTCTCCTTGCTGATGTTGATTTGATGCCATTTGTTGTTCTTGTTGTTCTTGGCTTTCTCAAAGTTAATACCATTTTCAGCAGGAAGAGTGCAACAAGAACCGAGCAGACCAAACCAAAGCAACAACAACTCCAGGCCCAATGTGCCGAGGTCCGTGGCTTCGGCCATGTCTGGAAGTTGGCTTGCTTGCCTGTTTTGGTTCCCTCGAGTTGGGTTGTTTGCTGGTTTTTACTTACCATTTTTAGTGGCAAGCAAAAAGACGCAGGCCCCGCGGCGTCCGCTACTGTATCTAAAAGCTAACGGACTTTTCAGCTCAGTTCAAAATATTTGACCGCGCCTATGTCAACTCAAAATGAATGCAATTGCTTCAGCTTTCTCGTTTACAAGGTGGCTACATTGTAGTCATTGTCAGACCAATGCTAAGGGCGAACTACCTCAGGTCTAATTGGCACCCTTGTGACCGGAAAAGGGGAAGGCCCCAGGCCAAGTGGCTTGACAGGGCTCAAAAAAACGTGAAACAGGGCAAACACATGACAAAACGTTGTAAAC